TTGCTATGATTATGCCTTTGTGTCTGATATTTTTATCCCAATTAATAAATTTCTAACCATTCTTCTTGGCTCAACTCCAGTGCTTTCTTTTCCATGAAGTGTTCACTGATTACTCTTATTAGAAGCAATTACTCTTCTTAAACACCTGAATTTTGTACCTATTTTATGGTTCTTATTTTATGTTGATTTGCATGATTACTTGTGGATGCAGAGATTAGATTACAACCTCTTATAAGGCAGGGATTATAAATTATCCATTTTTTATCACGTCTTCACTATAGAACCTAGCATGTTTCCATATGTATATATGTATATATGTATGCGTGTAGGTCAGCTTTATTGAGATATAATTTACATACCATACAATTCACCCATGTGAAGTATACAATTCAATGGTTTTTAGTATAGAGTTGTACAACCATCACCACAATCAATTTTAGAACATGCTTTACATCCCAAAAAGAAACCCCGTATCTATTAGTAGTCAGTCGCCATTTTTCTCCATACCTTCAGCCCTAGGCAACCACAAATCTAGTTTCTGTCTCTCTATGTTTACCTATTCTGGACATTTCATATAAATGGAAGCATACAATACATGGCCTTTTGTGACTGGCTTCTTTCACTTAGTATAAAGTTTTCAAGGTTAATCCATGTTGTAGCATGTTGTACTTCATTCCATTTTATGGCCAAATAATATCCCATTGTATGATACACCACATGTTGTTTATCCCTTCATCGGTCGATGGACGTTTGGAGTATTTCCATTTTTAGCTATAATGAATAATGCAGCTATGAATATTCATGTTTAAGTTTTTGTGGGGACATGTGTTTTCATGGAATTGTTGGGTCATAAGGTAACTCTTTTTAACATTTTGAGGACTATCAGGCTGTTTTCTAAAGCAGCTTTACCATTTATATTCTCACCAGCAAAGTATGCAGGTTCTGCTTTCTCCATACCTCACCAACATTTGTTATTATCTATCTTTTTGATTGTAGATATCCTAGTGGATATGAAATGGAATCTCATTGTGTGTGTGTTTTAATTGTGGTAAAATATATATAACAAAATATTTGCCACTTCAGTCATTTTCATGTGTTGACATTATGTTCACCGTGTTGTGTAACCATCACCACTATGTGTTTCCAAATTTTACCATCACTCTTAACAGAAACAACTCTTTTAAACATTAGATGTTCAGTTGTTTGTTTGTTTTTTTTTTTTTTTTTTTTGGTGCTTTAGGTGAAAGTTTACAGCTCAAGTTAGTTTCTCATTGAAAAATTTATATATACCGTTTTGTGATATTGGCTGCAATCCCAACAATATGACAGCACTCCCCATTTCCACCCTGGGTTCCCTGTGTCCATTAGTCCAGTTTTCTTGCCCCTTCCTGCCTTCTCATCTTGCTTTTAGGCAGGATTTGCCCATTTGGGTCTCATATATTTGATTCAGCTAAGAAGCATGTTCCTCACATGTGTTATTGTTGTTTTATAGGCCTGTCTAATCTTTGTCTGAAAGGTGGGCTTCAAGAGTGGTTTCAATTCTGAGTTAGCAGAGTGTCCGGGGGCCATAGTCTCAGGGATTCCTCCAATCTCTGTCAGACGAGCAAGTCTTGTCTCTTTTTGTGAATTTGAATTTTGTTCTACATTTTTCTCCTGCTCTGTCTGGTACTCTCTGTTATGCTCCCTGTTAGAGCGGTGGTGGTGGTAGCCAGGCACCATCTAGTTCTTCTGGGCTCAGGCTGGTGGAGGCTCTGGTTCATGTGATCCTTTAGTCCTTTGGGTTAATATTTTCCTTGTTTCTTTGGTTTTCCTCATTCTCCTTTGCTCCGGATGGAATGGGACCAATAGATTTATCTTAGATGGCTGCTCACAAGCTTTTAAGATCCTAGATGCTGCTCACCAAAGTAGGATGGAGAACATTTTCTTTATGAACTGTGTTATGACAGTTAACCTAGATGTCTCCCGAGACTATATCCCCAGCCCTCAGCCCCAGTACCTTGGTTCCCCAAGGTGTTTGGATGTGTCTAGGAAACTTTTATGCCTTTGCCTTGGTCAAGTTGTGCTGACTTCCTCTATATTATGTCTTTCCCTTCATCAAAGTTGGCACTTGTCTAATATCTAGTTAGTGATTTCCCCTCCCCTTCCATCCCTACTCTCGTAACCATCAAAGAATGTTTTTTTTCTGTGTGTAAACCTTTTGAGTTCTTATAATAGTGGTCTTATACAATATTTGTCCTTTTGTGATTGACTTATTTCACTCAGCATAATACCCTCCAGATTCATCCATGTTGTGAGGTATTTTGAGGACTCATCATTGTTCCCTATAGTTGCGTAGTGTTCCATTGTATGTACCATAATTTGTTCCTTCATTCATATGAATGAATAATTTGTTTCTTCATTCATACTTAGGTTGTTTCCATCTTTTTGCTATTGTGAATAATGCTGCAATGAACATGGATGTGCATATGTCTATTCGTGTGATGGCTCTTATTTGTCTCGGATATATTCCTAGGAGTGGGATTGCTGGATCGTATGGGATTTCTGTTTCTAGTTTTTTTTAAGGAAGTGCCGTATTGTTTTCCAAAGTGGTTGTACCATTTTACATTCCCACCAGCAGTGCATAAAGAGTTCCAAAATTCCCGCAACCTCTCCAACATTTATTATTTTCTGCTTTTTTTTGGTTAGTGCCAGTATTTTCAGGGTGAGATGGTATCTCATTATAGTTTTGATTTGTCAATAATTATTTTCTGGATAAATGATGTCTATATGAAATATAAACAAGAAAATCATTTGAACAGGTTGGTTGACATCTAAGTATATTAATTAGCTAGAAATGAGGAAGACATGGTCTAGTATCCTTAGAATTCAATGTTTAAAAGTAACTTTTTCCCTAAGTTTTGGCATCAAAAAAAGTAACTTAATAAAAACCACATTCTCTGTTTTTAGTTGACAGTATTACCTAGGTGGCATAATAAAAAGGTGGCGATTTCTCATGAAAATTCATGTAGCTTTGCCTTTTTTAATGTATTTCATAGTACAGGCTAAATTACAAGCAAAATTCCAACTTTGATGTTGTTTCTGAAAGGCTAACTAATGAATCAGAAGCAGATCAAGGAAATAAAGTAACACCCGGCTCTCCCATTGCCCCGTCACTGAACAGTGACAACTTGGGCACGCAAGACACCAATTTCTATGGTGACTGTGTGTGAGACCTTCCCATTTCCTCCATGACAGGCCTGTCTTCAAAAAGGCATTTGATAATACACTTGAGGGAGGAAGGGCAGCTTAGAAAAATGCAACTGCTAAAGTTTGTCTGGGTAGAGTTTTCCTCAGCAAACAGTAGACCCTGGGAAACGTAACAGGTTCTGAAAACTTAATTTTCGGGACTCTGGAAGTCAGAAAAACAGCCAGCTGAATGAGTTCCCTCTTGGGCAGTGGTTTAGCCTACTTATCTCAAGTCAGAGGTAATGGTCCAACTGCTTTTGATTGGTTCTAGAGAGTTGTTTTGGCCAACATCCATACATTTAGTCCATCCTTGGACAGACACTTCTCTCTGCAGCCCTCAAAACCAGAGTTCAATTGAAGGGCCTAAATTAAAGGCCCATCATTTGGCTTACCACTCTGTATGGTGTGCAAGTGGTGAGGAGAGGAGCTGGCATGGTGGAGCCAGAGTCAAAGGTCATGGTCAAAGGTCATGATGGAGAGTAGCCAGAGGTTCTGTATGCATAACATTATCTTGCCTGACTAGTCTCAAAGCATAATTCTATAGTAGTATTCTCTGTGGAGACAGGCAACGGGTTTGGTTTTTTTGGTTTAGTCTCTGCAGCTACTTAAGAGGTACCTTTGTTTTTAGAATGGGGGGGTGTGTGGTGTTTATTTTCAACAACCACAATTCATCTTTCTTAAGATGTTTCCAAAGGCCGAAACAGGCCCCTTTCAAAGCTTCAGTGGACAAGTACTAACAGTTGGAAACATGGAGGAAGCGCAGTGAGGCCTGGTTTCTCTGGGCTCCGTGATAACTTGGGCAGTGCAGCTCCGGTGAATCGTGGTGAAGATGGAGTATTGCTCCGAGGGCCCCTGCTTTTCAGAGTTGAAACTGGAGCCCTCTGAGAGAAAGATATTGCGTGTGGGTTTCCGATGCTTCGGAGGGCGACGAGGATGACACAACATCAGCCGTTCCACCACGGGGTGGGGACACAGGGGCAGTCGGGCCTCCGCCATCCTCGGGGCACCGGCGGCCCCCACTCAGCATCATTTGTGGGGTGTGGGGAAGGCAGGAAGACCAAGAGTCGAGTCAGCGTTGGTTGGGTTGGTCGCAGAGCTCGCTGAGACAGCAGCCCCCAGCAAGAGGGGCGAGGCCCGGGGAGAGAAGCCGCCTGAGTTGGGGGCGGAGTAAAGCCGGTTCTCTAATCTCCGGCCCCATCACCGACTCGCCCCACCTGGATGCGGAAAGCGAGGACCGCGTGGAGAGGCACGCCCGGGTGGGGCTCCCCCTCCCAGATGCCTCCGAGACTGAGAAGGGGGCGCAAGCCAGGGCACCCCGACCCTCACGTCGCCCCCTCCTTGTGCCTCTGGTGGCCTCGCCGCCTCTTCTCGTCCTCCGTTAAAATAATGAAACAAACCGTGGCGTGAAGTGATGAAAAGCCGGGGGCGGGAGTCGGCCCTTAGTGAGGGGCCGGAGAGGAAGGGGCGCGGTGGCTGGCCGAGGTGGCCCGCTGGCGAGCGCCTGGCTGATTGCGATCGCGCTCCGCTGCGGCCGCCGCGACCCTTCCCTCGGGCGAGCCCTCCCCTGGCCCGCGGCCCTCCCCGAGGGAGTGGGGCCACCCTGGGCTGTGGTGGGGGTGGGGTGGGGCGCCACCTCTATCCGTGCTGGGATGGAAAGTGCGACCACTCGGCCAAAATCGGGGTCGGGGAGGCGGGGGCCCGGCGGGTACCGCGCCCCCCCACCCCCCGCCCGGGCCGCCGCCGCAGCTCAGTAACACGTCCCCAGGAGACTCGCAGGAGCAACACGTGATGTGTCTACTTATCAGGGTGAGCAAGGGAGAGCGAGGAGGCGAGCGTGCGGCAGGAGAGGGCCGGGGGCCGAGGCGGGGGGCCGGACCGCGGCTTGGGGCGCCGGGGGTCGCCAGCTGCGCGCCCACCTCCGTCCTGCGGGGAGCAGAGGAGGAGGGGAAGTGACTGCGGAGTTGATGAACTTTGCACATCCAGAAACGCCATTTTGATTCCTTTTCCGGAACAAGTTTGCATCTCTCCTCTCTCTCGCCCCGCAGCCCCCGGACGCCCCTCCATCATGCTTCGGAGCACACCGCCCTGGCCGGCTGTAAGTATGCGCTCAGGGTTTGGTTCGCTTTCGTCGGATCGCAGTGGAATGTCCGGGTCTGAGTAGGAGCGCCCTTTTCAAGAACTTTTGGGATGGGCAGGGTGCATTCTGCACAGCGGGTTGCACTTTAAACTCTGTGTTCCACGGGGCGAGGGGGCCCAGGCGCGCTCCCAGCCGCGTCGCGTGCGCCCTGGCGCTGGCGAGGATGAGCGGGCCGCCTTTCCCCTCGGGCTGCCCGCCGGGCCGGCCGCCGCTCCTCCTCCTCCCTCCCCTTCCTCCGCTCCTTTCCCCTTCCCGAGCTGCTGACTCGACCCGTCCGCTCCCGCGAGCGCCCGCCGCTGCTCGCAGGACCTGATGTGCATCCACACTTGCGTGTCCCAGCGCCGGGCCCCGTCGGGCTCCCAGCCGTCCCCAGCCGCTGCAAAGTTTATTTTTAACTAGCGCCAGCCAGGACTCGGATGGTGCGCGGACCGCGGGCCAGAGACATCTTCCCAGCGCCTCGCTCCATCTTCCGCCCTCCTCCCCCGACATCCCTCCCCCCCTGTGGGAGGGGAAACTCTGCTCCTGCATACTTTCGAGTCACTCCCGGGGCCGCGAGCGCGGGGATGACGGCACCCGCCGCAAGGTAGCCGGGGCCGCGGGGCTCGTGGCGGAGCGGCTGGGCTGCCCGGCAGCTCGGCGGGAGCATCGCCTGCACCTTCTCCCGGACTTTGGTCTCGGCGCTTGGCCGGTACTCCCGGCCGGCTGGCGGGGATGAGGTTTGGCCCCAGCTCCAGGGTGACTTGGGGGGTGTCGGCCGCAGCCGTATCGGGACGTATTGTTCGGCTGTCCTTGTCGCTGGCGTGGCGCGTACGTGTCTCGCCGGGAGCCCGGGGATGGGTGCGCGGCGGGGCGTTGGGGGTACCGCGGCGCTCGCGGCCATCCCAGCCCAGGAGGGGCCGGGAGCATCCGAGCGGGGCCGCGGGCCATTGCGTGAGCTTGTGCGAAACTTTTGTCCAGCGTCCGCTGGACCAGTTTTCCGCGACTACTGGTCTCCGGTCCTCCTCCATCCCAGCGGCGGCGCGGGGCGGGGGCGGGCGGCGGGCGGGGCCCAGACCCCCAGGCTCGGGCCGCCCCCAGCCTCCGCCCCGCTCGCCGTCGCTTAGGAAACTGCGACCTTAATGGTTGCTAAGGAGCAGGGGAGGTCCTTCCCCGGGCCGGCCCCCTCCCTGGGCAGCAGCGTTTTCCTGGATGGGACTGGAGAGTCGCGTCGAGGATGTGGTGACTCGGCTCCCGGGCGCGGCGCGTGAGTACCGGGCGCGGGGCCGCGGGCCGGGCCGCCCTGGACCGAGTGACTTTTTTCTCTAAGCGGGGGTGGGGCGCGCAGGGGCCCCGGGCGAGGGCCGGGCCGCGGGCGGGTCGCGGGGTGTCGCCGCGAGCCCACTTTGTCGCCGCGCAGAGGAGGGTGTCGAGGGGCGCAGGTACCCCGCGATCAGCGGGATCCGGGCCGCAGAAGGGGCGGTTGACAGGCACCGCGTGCACTCTCGTCCAGCGACTGGACCCTGCGCGATGCATCCGTGATGGATTATAAAAGAGGAGGAAAATGTTTTTCCTTGCTCAGCAGATTTGCCTTCCCTCGCTCCTTACTGGTTAGGAGATAGAACGTGAGCCCAGATCCGGACGAGCAGTTCACATTCCATTACGAAATTCTACACGGCTTCAGAGCCAGCCCAGCAAACATTCGGGCACTTTGGAGGGTTTTTGTTTTTTGTTATTTTATTTCTTTATTAGGGGTATTGGTGGAGAGATACAAGGGTGAATTATAAATATAAGTTATAGGTATGCTGAAAAACCTGCCCTGGGGTTTTCATAAATAGAGAAATTAACCTTCGTTTTTGTTCTAGAGTTAAGGTTTACGTTTAGCCTTTTACTAGCTAATGGAAATAAAGTTTGCCTCTTGGATAGGGATGCTGGAAATAGCGTGATATTTCTGCCTCGAAGAGGAGACTGGAAATGGTTTCTACAAAGGCTTAGTTGCTAATGTGCATCTCTATATTTGAGATCTTTTTTCCTCTAGACAGGCGGTGGCCTGTGCGTGTGCAGTGAGTTTAATCTGAGATAATTTTAATTGAAGTGAAAGGTGGGGAAAAGGGAACTGCAAAGAATTATTTTTTTCACACCCGTGAAAAGCATCCTCTAGACTTGGTACTTTTTCAGCTGGTACGCAGGTATGGTTCTAAGACATAATTGGACCCGAAAGTCGAAGTTAGAGACTGAAGTCTTGGATAAAACTTTTATATTTCTTTTTTAAGCGTTTAGTTCTATGCTTTTTCAAGACTCCCACAGACCTTTTCAAGGGATGAGTTTGAAATTACTGTTCAAGGAAGTTATACAAAGGTGGGCCACTAATTTTCGTGTTTTTTTTTTTTTTTAACCCCAACTCTTTGGAGGGAGCTTCCTGGGTACACTCTGATGGATCCTGCTTTGATGTGTTTTTGAGCTTTGGTTACACTGATGAATTAAACATTTGAATGGCTTTAATCAAGTTTTAAATGTGTGAAAAAATACCTTCCCCCTCTTTTACAAAAGAAAGGGAGAGACCTCTTTGATTTAGTTATTTGTTTAGCTTGTGCTCCATTTTAGGTTGTTAATTGAACTTGTACTTTGTACTGTCTTATCATTCTTAAAATACTGCTAAACTGGTTGCATTTTAGGATGTTTTGTTTTAAAGGAGGATTTGCTGGAAATGTGATACTCTTAGGAAATGCTAATGTTTGCTGTTATATCGCTTATCACCCCCTGGATTTTTCTAGATGCCCATCTATTTTTCATCAGAAATACAGAGCAGAAGCCCTTTGGCAGACAAGTGTTGGTTATGTGATGAGGAATATGAGTCTGACTCAGCTGGTACAGGTGATGCATTCATTCCTAACTATTTACATCACCCAGTCAGTGACCTTTTGATTGAAGGGTCTTTTATTTTAGATTTCTTCAGGCTCACAACTGAGATCTTAATTTGCATCCAGTCCAGGTACAGAACGTTGAAGGAGGAAAATAAAACTAACCACATTAGTCCTGCATTTGATCAACAGCTGTTTATGAAATGTTACCTGTTATATCCAGGCACTAGTTTAGAAGTCTTTTACTTGCTGTCATATGTTCCCTTGTCAGCATTATTTATTACTTTCAGCTAGGGAAATTACCCAGTTACTAAAGTTAAAAGTGTTTACCCTCTTAGGGTTTTACATAGCATAATTTATGTAGACTTAATTCCTACAAAAATTGGTGAAACATGCTCACTAGAAACAGTCAGAAGTGGATCCTTTTGATGTTCCTATTCATTATCCTTCTGAAAAGTAGGTGGTGCTTAGAAGGTCATAGGATAAGGGTTGCTAAGCAGCTAAACAGAAGGATGCTAAAATTAACCAAAGCATTTTTGAAAGGGAGTCCTTCTCTGGTTTACATTATTTACTAGGTTTAATTAATTTTTGAATTCTCTATGTCCTTTGACTTAAACAGGTAGGACGTTAAGTTTGTTTTGTTTGGGTTTTTTGTTAGTGTACTTAAATAATCACTCCTTCTTTTGTAAATGTCTTTAATTGGAGTTCAGTGCTGTCTGACCAGCAAGTGGTGTCAAATGGCAGCTCGTCTGGGCAGAGGTCTTCCCAGTGTGTTCAGGTTAAACCTTTCCAAGGATGCATCACCTTATTTCATATGTTAATAACAGACTTTTTGGGGTCTATTTTGGTCATTCTACATAATCCTTAAAGTGATGTCCTACCTTTCCTCTTTTATTGAATAAGATTTGCATTCAGAAGGTGGAAATGCAATATAGTATCAACAGAAAGTGTGCAGTATAGTCTCTCCTGGTAAGATGAGGATGGTTTTCACCCCCTTTGCTCAGTTTATTGTTCCTTCGATTAGGTCTGGACAGGACTCTTCTTCCTCAGTGTATTCAGCCCAGTTCTTAGATATCTTTTAAAAATAATTGTATTAGGTTTGGAGTGTTTTTGGAAACATTGACCAAATGTTAGAAAACAAAACAAAACAAAAAACTGTGATTTGTGTCATAATTCAGCTATAAGTATGTTTAAAGGTATTGAAGTTTTTGGTGAGGTAAAATGGTTGAAATCTGAGTGAAGGCCAGGTTGGTAGCCATCCTGTCTTGGTTGAAAGGCAGGCCTGCTGTAAGTCAGACGTTTCCCTGCCTCAAGGTTATTTGTGTGCATCTGACCTACTGAACAGGTAAAGTTGAGTAATAATATCTTTTACATCCAAGTGTAATTAAGAAATTGGATGGGTTCTTTTTTTCCAGGGGGAGGGTAGATATGTTTTTTTTTTTCTCTTTTAAACATCTATTAAAGAGATTTTTTGAGGAGAAATAGCCATGACCCTCTTCAAAAAGCAGGGGTCAGGTATTGATTTCCACGCTCTGGGGGGCCTCCCCCTAAATCAAAGGTAAAAGGTGTACCATATGAAACACGGAGGGAGGCATACGATGTGCTTTCTGAAATGCATCACTTGTTTTTACTTTCCCCCACTGCCAGGGAAGGCAGAATACAGAAAGGAGAGGCGTCTGTTTTGCTTCCTACTGGGGTAGGGGAACTAGGAGGGTGGGGAGTGAGGGGGACAGGTTTTTTTTCCTTCTATGTTGGGCGTCTGTCATCGACTGTGGCCTTCTCAGTTTCTCTTGTCACTTCAGGAGAAAATCTCGAGTCTTGTTCCCGGGGTGGTTAATGCTGATGTGAGGTGAAGCAGAGTGTAGCTGACGATGGCCCTGGATGTCTGTTGGTGGAAGATGGGATGGAATGGAGAGGGAGGAGAGGAGGGGGAAGGGAAGAGCAACCGGTGCATCTTGTTTTTGATGGTACTTCAGGGTACAGGTTAGCCAGTCTGCCCATCATTAAAGGTGGCTGGCTGAATAGGTGCTTCAGACAAAAGAAGTGGGAGAGGGTGGAGACTGTTTGTTCAGTGTGATTCAAACAAGTAATGCTAAGAGAATTTGAAAGCCTCTGTAAAGT